AATAAATATTCATGGCGAAAACAACTGCAATCTACATCTTAATGACTTTTGTTATCACTTAATCTCCTCACCTCTTCCAAGTCTAAATTCCAACAGTTTTATTGGTATTTCTTATACCATTTTTGTATTAATCCTTTCCAGGAAAATGTTTGTGTTTTAAATCTTTCCAGGGTATCTAGTGTATCGTACAAATGATAGTAGGCATAGAAGATAATCAATATTTATATATACCTCTCAGCATTCCCAAATTTCTCTAACTCACAGAAAGTTTCCTGTTAATTTTGACCAAAAGTGAAAATGCAAATCAGGGCTCTTTTAGAAACAACATACAGACTTCAAGAAGCTAAGGTAACTCTAGCTGAGGTTTTATTCTTTTATAGTGCACTTCACTGTTAATTTCAGAAAATCATCAAATTCGGTTTCACAGTACTCTCATCCTCATGTATGGTGGTATACACATTTCACAGATATAAGCAAACATTAATGACTGAATTCAAGTTACACAAGTTTGTGACAGTCCCAAAGCCACATTTTAGATTATAACATTAGCTCTTTGCTTTCTCAAGAAACTATTTATCTCTAAGCGGCAACAAAATATTTTCAACTGGGTGCTCACAGTCAGACTCTTAAATCCATGCTGAGATGCATAAAGGTTATGATTATCAGGAGTGAGAAGGCACTAAAATACCTATAAATCAGTGGTGTATGCTGACTTCTAGGATTGCTGCTATATTAACTTCTGTTAAAAGCTGGTGAATTTTTTTTTTGCTCAGGAGCCCACTGTTTTCAGAAATCTGAAGACCTAATGCTCAGGCTAAATGATACGTTTAAAAGTACCCAAATTGATAACCCATGAAAACTGGAAAAATGTTATTCGTTCTGCCATTAGACTATTTTAGCTTGGACAGCAGTAACAGTTGCATAGAAAGTTATATTCCTCATCTAAATCCAATTTGGAGTACTTACAACTGTGGAATCAAAGGTTCATTACTTTACTCACAAATGCTAAAAAGTTTTTCATTTTACAACTATTTACTTGAAGAGCTGAAAAGAGACACAGGCATTAAGTAAGTCCTCAGGCAGAATACAACTCTATGCAAACTAGAATATTCAACACAGCATAGTTTATTTGCACAGATAATCAACCAAGACTTCTGGTCTACAAAACTGGGTGCTGGCTTACTTGTGATAAGCTGTAGAGTACAGTAACATGTTAGCTCATGCTTGGTGGCAACAGGTTTGTTTTCCAAGATTGTGTAATCCAAATTCCTTTTCTAAGAGATGATTTTGAGAAGCACTATTAGATGGAATAATTAATGAGAGCACAGAATACTAGAGAAGTAAACTTTTTTTTTTTTTTTGGGTTGTGGTAAGCTTCAAACATTAAAAGTATCGATTTATAAAGAATTAATATGATTTCAGGAATGGGAATTTCTGCTAGTGCACTAAGTTTCTGCTTATGTTACAATCAGGTCAGCGTACCCAGCTGTAGCACATGACAGAGATTTTAGGAACACAGTTAGGGTCACATTTACAATACAAATTGGGAATGTGTTGCAACTGCATTCTTTGATTTGATTGTAATGTAGATGACTGTAAGACTAATTAAACATCATCTACTGTTCACAGGAGAAACCACCAGCTGTTGCTTAAGCAAAGTTTAAAGACAGTTTTATATGAAACAGGTTATGACATGGTCTCACCAACCAACAAGGACTGAGATTTTTCCGTGTTATAACAAGACTCTAGAATTACTTTAGCCTCAGTTTAAAGACATTCAAAATATGTTTAATATAGCTCTTGCTAGCAAGGTGCTAAGACACTTCAAAATTCATTTCACATAGCTTCAGATAACACTGACATAATAAATGTCTCCTGTATTTTGACCCAGATAAAATCAGTTTTCCTCTGCTGATAATTAATCATTTGGTCAAGTGGAATGGTGTTGGGCTTTATTTTCACAAGGGTTTTAAGACAACATTCAGGCCTGTCAAATCCACAATTTGGAGAAAAAAAAAAAATAATGTTTCTCTCCTATACAATGCTTTCATCTGCAAATCAAAAAGCACCTACTTAAGATCACTATCATTATCTCAATTTTCAGAGAAGAAAATTAAGACACAGGGATATGCTGCTACATGCCCAAGATCAGACCGAAAACTGGTAGCTAAGGTAACTGAGGTACAGTCCTATGTCAATAAGTTATTTTGCATCTACTCTAATATTTTGTAGAGTATCTTAATATAATAATCCTGATAAAACTGTAGAAGGAACCAGCATAAAAATTAATTTATACCAAAGCAGAGTGAATATTTTGTAGGTAAATTCCACAAATCGTTACAGCGAGTCAATAAAGTCTGTAAATTTAATTTATAGTTATCACCTTTAAAAAAAAAAAAAAAAAATTGCTGTAACATGATTCCTTAACAGCATAGAAAGATAATACATAGTCCAGCCTACATATAATTGATAGAAGATTATCCATCACAGTTTTCTGGACAAATCTGAACCAGCACAGGGGTTTGGAACAAAATCAATGATTTGGATCATTTTAACATCCCATTTTGAAACAGCATGAGGAACATCTAATCTCATTTTAGTATTTTATGAAATGACTCCCAAGTAGCAGGTAGGAACTGTTGGTTTTAATCCCAGGGTCGTATATTCCTGCCAGTTCTTGGGAAGCAAATGGGTATGTAAAGATTCCAGGTTTCAGTGGTCCTAGAAAGTGGTAGTAGCACCAACACAACAGATTTCTGTATCAAAGACTCTTTGCAGTAACTGGCTATAATCTCTGGAAAGCTTGGTTTTTCTAAAGCACCTACTACTACAATCTCTGAGAGTCTAACACAGACATTAATCACTGTACTAAGTGACATCATGAAAAAATCATGATCTTCATTCCCAGTTTCAGGAGCTTCTCTTGGTTGGGTAAATTTGAAATACATTTAATTTTGCAGAGTTTGTTGAGCTGACCTTTTAGTAAAAGCTCGTGCTGACAAGTATTTTGATTTTATTTATTCTAGCTGGTTTTATTTCTTCTAGGGTAGCCCATCCTGCAGGTAACCAATACATAAAATCTCCCCTCCAAATCTTCCCGTCAGCATGTTTATGCTTCTTGCAACATTATTTCATTTGCAGTTCAGGTCAGGTCATTAAATAAGTTTACTTCAAATGAAGAGAGACCTATGAAAGTGAAAGTGGCCAGCTGCAAACCGGGAATTTGACTCAAAGACTCCAGGTAGCCAGCACACCACTGTGAGGCACAGATGCAAAAGTCCGTATTTATTGTCTGAAGAACATCCTTACACCTTCCCCAGCATGGGGACAACCCAACAGGAACCAAACAAGTTAAACCCTAGTTCTGATGCACACTACCCTCTCATGCACCTTCCCCCTCAGCAGGGGAAAAGCCATTTTCTGGCATAAAGCCGAACTGTATAAATTCAGAGCACAGTGGCTCTATGATCCATCTGTCTTATCTCATCCTGACACCTGACATTTCTTCCAGATTCTTACTCAAAGATCTGTATCTACATGTGGTCAAGTATAACTCAAGTCAAGGTCTTAAATGGTGTCACTTCTTAGAGCCTCCGTGTAGCCGTATGCAAAATGGGGGTAATTACTTACTTCACTAAGGTGTGGTGTTTATAAAATGTTTGAGAGCCTCAGATGAAAAGGACTTTCCTTACAAAATGTAATTATATTATTATGCCAGAGGTAAGGCATAGGCTTGTGATTCCACATACAGTATTTAAATACAATTACTTATCTATCAAAATCAAGAACCTGTGCTATTTCTCCCTCTCTCAGCTCCTGATCCTCTTACCATTAATAAACTGAGTAATCCTGACTCCAGTGAATCTGCTGACGTACTCCTTCTGTAAGGTGTACAAGTAGCAAAAAAAAAAAAAAAAAAAAAAATCACAGCAACTCAAAAATAGTATAATTTCTCACTTATTATTTTTCATGATTTCCCCTGTTTTGTAAGAGTCCTTAAATTCTGGTGTCCCAGTTTTAGAGGGATGCCTCCCTTCGACATTTCTGCAGGTGCCCGCCGGTACCAGAAGTATTTGCACATGCTTTTCAGAACGTGGATGATTTTAAATAAATGTAGTCTGAAGCAAAAATAATTTTGCAAATTGTCTACCAGCCATGACACGTAAGAGCCCCTACGCAATTTCTAATACTCTCACTGATCTTAAGCCTGCTTGGTCTGGGATGATCCCCTCAACATCTCCCGACCTTCCGGACCATACTCATCGCTTCCGACAGCGAGGTGCGCTCCCTGCCCCCTCTGCCCCCCACAGCAGACACCGCGAGGGCCTTTCCCGCCTCTGCCCCGCACCCACCGTCCTGCCCTCCTGGAAGTGGGGGGGTCACGCAGCGAGCGGGAGGCCCGAGGGGCTGAAATGCGGAAGAGCGGGAGGAGCGGAGACGGGGAGGGCAAGGAGAAGAAACGGTGCTGTAAGGCAAGACGGAGGGGGATGAATGGCGGGTTGCGGAAGGGCAAGGAGGGGCAGCGGGAGGGGCTGGAAGGGGGAACACGAGGGCTCCAAGGCCCACGCGTGGAAAGCCTGCCTCAGCGCCGCTCCCCACTCCCGCCGAGCCTTTCTGAGGGCGTCCCGTGTGTGTGTGGGGGGGTGTGTGTCCCACCCCACGCCCCGGGCCACGCAGCGCCTCCCGGGCCGACACGTGCGCGGAGCCCCACGGCGGGTCGCGGCCGGCCCAGCCCCCGCGCCGACACGCGTGGCGGGGAGGGGTGTGTTCCCCGCGGCGGGGCGGGGGGGCGCGCCGAGGAAGGCGCCCCGCAGCTCTGCCCTCCTCGGGAGCGCCGCAGCCGGCACCCGCCCGGATTGGCAGGACCGTATGCCCTCCTCTTCCTCCCTCCTTTTCCCTCCTCCGCGGGGTGGGCTTCAGCCCTCCTCCTTCCTTGGGGAGGTGGGGGAAGAGTTTTAAAAAAAAAAAAAAAAAAAAAGGGGGGGGGGGGGGGAGGGAAAAAAAAAAAAAGAAAAAAAATAGAGAAAAGAAATCCTAAGTCGCGTCCCCGACGTCTCCGGGCCCCGCGGCCGCAGCGGCCGCCCCACATTCCTGGCATTCCTGGGCCGTGACTCCCCGCGCCGCCCCGGCCCCAGCCCGGCCTCGGCCCCGCCGCCTCCGGCTCGCCCGCCCGCCGGCCCCGCTCGCCCCCGCGGGACACCAGTCCCCTCCCTCCCGTCCTGCCTCCCTCCTTCCCGCACCCCGCGGGCGGCAGCAGGAGCTCCGGGCGCCCCGGCCCTCGCCGCCCCCGCCGCCGGCGGCCCCCCAGCTCCCGGCCGCCCCGCCGAAGTTCCCCGCGGTGGTGGCCGGGCCGGGGCGGCGGGAGCGGGTCTCCATCCCCACCGCTCCCGGGGAGCGGCCCCACGCCTTCCCCGCCCGCTTTGGGTCCCGCCGCCGGCAGCCGCCGCCCCCCGGGCCGGGCCGGGCCGGGCCGGGCCGGGCCAGCACAGCCGCCTCCCCCGGGAGCGCACAAAGCCGGAGCCGAGCAGCAGGTAAGGAGCCGCCGCCGAGTTTGCTGGAGTTTGGGCTCGGGCTGACTTGGGACCAGCCCGAGTTATGGTTTTTACTCCGTGTGTGCGGTAGGCAGCGTTCGGGTAAGGCTCGCAGCGCTCGGCAACGTGCAATTACAGCTCAGCGGCGTATACGCTGCAGTTTGCAAATTACGAAAATAGCTACGCTTGGGTTACAGATGCCAGTCGGTGACCTGCGATAAACAAGCCTCGGATGGTCCGTCCAGCCGGTGAATTTAATCTGCCAGACACCTAGATAACGCGGCATTTGTATAATCAGGAGGTATTTGTCAATAGGCAGGGCGCTGTGCTGGGCTGCCCGTGTTTACACGGCGGCATGCACGGGTTTGTCTCCCCCCGCCCAGGGGTTTACCTTGTCCTTTGTTAGTTACAGCCGAGCCTAAACTAGCTGCTCGTCCTCAGCAGCTGTGCAACGCCGAGCCCTGCAGAAAAGGTCGCAGCGAGGCAGGGAAGGCTGACATCTGCTCTCATTTCTGATGTGGCAAAGTCAATGAATTTTTAAGATCTCAAACTAGCTCTCTTTATTGGAGTGTATTTGGTATGGAGCGTTACATAATGTATGTGTGGTATGTGGATATAATGTGTGCTGGAGCTTTCCTATCGAGAATGTTTTATCTCTGATTTGCATAAAATAATCATATGTTGCCATTATAAGCAACTCTTCGGCTGGTTGTAACTTTAACAAGGTGGGAACAAACAGTGACCGATAAAGGCTCCGAGTCGAGATGATGTTGCCCAGAATGTTTTCTGGGATTTTTGGCCTGTAGCCTGAAACCATTGCTGAAAGAAATACTTTTACCAGAAGACAGTTCTCTTTTCTTAAAACTCTATGCAGATTATCACTGCTGGGTTTGGTTATTCTGAAAGCACTGTTATCTGCTGAAGCTCTTTTAGAGTTTGGGAAAATATACCTATAAAATGGCTCCCCCCCCCCGAATCACAAGTCACCACCTGCCAACCTCCATATTATGAGAGCAGGCGGTCAGGTCTTTTGGGGGAGAGATTGTGAGGGGAGGCAGTCCCAGCAGGGACTGCTCTCTGGTTATCCAGCTGAGAATGTCCTATCAAATATGAGTGACAAAATACAGATTACACAGCTTTTGCTCTTGCCCTCTGGGGGGTCTGTAGCTGACATCTAGTACTTGTTACATGGTATAAAATAAAGCGTGTGTTGATATTATAGTAATGCAAATAAGCTTTAGGCCCTGTTCTGTTATTGGCAGTACTTTCTTGAACTTTTTTTGGTTTCTGTAGGAAGCTGTGCCAGAGTTGCTTACAGGCAGAGGGCACTTGTGTGTATCTAATGGGTCATGATACAAAAGTTGGGAGCTTTGAAGTACAGCCCATCAGCTAAAAGTTAGTCCCCAAAATCTGTGGCAGAGCTTGTGCCCATCAGTTCTGCGAGTGCATTTGTGTGTGAGAAGCTTGAAAGCACGACTGTCTCCATGCAACCTCAGAAAGTCTAGTGGTGCAGATGAAGGCCAGAGCAAGGACTGTGGGACTGATCTCCGTACCGAGCAAACCAAGCTTTTGTATGTACGTTATACTTACAGTTTTAAACGTGTCTTTTAAATGTTTTTGTAATAGTATCAGAAGTAGTTTTGACGTTGTTCATGAGAGTTAATTAGCAACCAATGTTAATACTAATGGCTGACTTTTCTCCTGGTCTTTCTTGTCCAGCAGAAGCCTGTGAGTCAGTTATTGTAACTTAGGTATAGAATGGCTTTCTATGAAATACATCTGCTTTTGTATACTTAACAAATTGTCATGGCCACCAGTGGCTCCTCCAATCTTAGAGAAAGTATTTAATATATAAAAAAAAAGTGTTTACATACTTCTGGTCACTCTATGGTTTCCTTTTTATGTGTTTCTTTTGTACCACTACAGCCAAAGGGGCTGCTCTAAATTCTGTTTCTCTTCATATCCAGTGAGGCTGTATTTGGTTAAATGTTACATAAGTAGCTCATTTGAATCTGCATTTAAGTTTAGTAGAGATATATGCAGTGTGAAAAGTGTACTTGAACTCCAGCTCCTCAGCTGGAAGCAACTTGTCCTCTGTTGCAAGGGTTAGTCGGCTGAGGGGGTTTTCTAAGCTGCCGGTAGTATACAAAGGTAAAAAGTTTTCAGCAGGCAATGCTGCTCAGTAGTGTATGGGTCCGAGTCCTGCAAAGACCCACCCATGTGCTTAAATTCACATTCATGAGTAGTGCTTTTGAAATCATGGAATTTCTTTTTTATACATAATAATAAACAAGTATACAAGTCTTAGCAGGAGCCAGGCTATAATACTTACTATGCAATATATTTGTGCATGTGTATCCAGCTCAGTTACAAGAAGATTTCAGTAAAGGCTTAATTTTTATGCTGAGCAGATGCCATAAAAGTCTTTTTATGTCGAAGTCCATTGTGAAGTGCAGCGTGCCTTGGCCTATTACACTTTGTGGAGTTCCACTGGAACAGCTCCTGATCTGTGAAGACAAACCACTACCCTGTAGATGTTCTTCCTGTGCGGAGTATGCCTGTGCACAAGATTCTCTGAAATTCTAAGTGAAAAGGTCTGGTTCCATTTTTTCAATCTATTGGCTCCCTATTCAGAGACTCTATGAAAGCTGCTGACTCTACCTCTTGGATGGTTTTAAACAAATATATTAAAAAAATAGAAAATAAAGGCTAGATCCTAAAGGAACTGAGGTAGACCTGGTCTGAAGTCCAAGGTGATGATAAAAGTATGATTTTGGTTCCCCTGTCTAACCTCATCCTCCTGCACCTAGTACAGTAGACCTCAAAACTCAGTGGGCACCTGTAGCTTCCTCTGGTTGTGCTGGATCTGGGTCCATGTCCGGAGTGAGTGTAGCCTGTCCTGTGCAGGTGCCCATCTTCTGCTTAAGGCCTTCTGGCTTGATGTGCCCTCGGAGCACAGATGAGATGAGGAGACATGACACATGCTCTGAAGGAACAGGGCACCTCACAAATGTGGAAATAGCCCTGGGAACAGGACCTGCAGTCTGTGACTCTTCCCCTCTTTCCTTTGGGCAGTAGTGGGGTGAGTAAGAACTCTGGGGTATGAAAGGATCAGAGTAGAATGTCCAGGTGTCCAAAAGCTGACAGTTAGGTGTTCTATCAGGGTATGAGGCATTTGTTGACTTGGTGTTCATTTCTTCTGTGAAACAGTGTGATTTAGAGGCAGTAACATTGCATCTTTATTTTGGAGTTGTGTGCCTTATTGGGATGATGTTGGTTTTGTTTTTTTTTTTTTTTCCTGTTTCTTGATAGTATTTGGCTTGACTATCTGATCTTTGGGGATAGTATTTTGTTCTTTTACTGTAAAGTCACCTGACAAAATGAAGCTTATGATTGAAATGTCTGGATACTTTTGTAATGATAAGCAACCAGAACACAAAATTGGAGCTTGCTGAAAATTTTTAAGCTAAAAGATATATCATGGTACAGCTTATCTTAAATATATGGGAAATCAAAATTGTTATTGGCGTTGTTATTTTTTAGATGAAAACCAGATTTGGCTTTGCTATTAAGTGCATACATACTACCCTTTTCTTCTGCTTGCAACTCTTCTGTTCGAGTAAACATTTCTAAAGCAAACTTACCAAGTTCAAGGATGACTTCATGTGAAGGTTTGAAGGATTAGGAGCATTTTAATTTAATTGTCTTTAACTTTCAATGTCCATGCATAATATAATGAAATGTGGCCCGGTTTTAGTGAATTGTCAAGATTAGATTGTGGTCAAATAAAGGTAATGTAACGATGCAAACACAATGCCTTGCCATCTGAATTATGTCAATTGGTATTTTTGGCTTTAGATGCAGAGGAGAGTAAAGAAGGCTTTAGATTGCTCTTTAAAGTGTTTCTCAAGGTCTGCAAATGAATGCTAAAATTGCCATCTGGAATTAAGGACATGAGACCGTGATGCAGCACAAAGCATGTAAAAGGAATGTGCATATTTTTTTGAAAACATATTTCCCCCCATCATTGCTGCCCTAATAAGCACTTGCACATATTATAGTCAACTATATGTGAGCAACTTTTGAAAATACCTAAGGGACTGTAAACTTAGCACTAATTAAGCATAAATTTATGTAACATTAAGAAGGATTTCTAATCAAATAATTTTTCTGGAGGAAGTCAGGTATGTGACATGTTGGATGGGTAATGTCCTGGGAAGAAGAGAATGATGACCTACACCCCCCCTCTAATGTCCTGTAGACATTGTGACTGTCTTGCATTCTGCTCACATTAAGAGTTTAGATACCTAGCTTTGCTTAAAACCAAGCAAGTCCTTTGGAGACTGCAACTCTCCTTTCTAGTTCTCAAAGAGTGCTTTTTCTTATGACTAAAAATTTTTTTTTTTTTTTGTCAGTAACAACGTAAACCCTAAATTACCATGTAATGTAGAAACAACTCTGAAAAGAGGGTGGTGAATGTGTATGTTGGTGATCTAATAAACTAGATGAATGATGGTGTGCCAAAACTTGCTAATGATGCAAAAGTATTTGGATTAGGCAAGATTGAAGAAGACTGAGAAATTGTAAAGGGAATCCAAGAAAGCTGGGTAAAAGGGAAGCATAGCAGATGATGTTGATAAATTCAAGAATATGCACATTAGAGGGAATAATCATATTACTCGTTCATGTTACTGGATTGTAAATTAGCTATATTTATTAAGGTGGAGAGGAAGATTTCGACAATTTTGTATTTGAACTTGTGCACCTCCTTAATGCTTAGCATTGTGTAGAAAAAAGTGCCACAGTGATTGTGCAATGCTGTGTTAATAACACAAAGGACATTATTAAACTCGTGCTCAAATTGCCGTGGAATAATCAATTTGTATTCTATCGAAGAAGAGAGATGGGAAGATATTCATATGAAGTTGAACTGAAAATATTAGTGTTGCTTTGTTTCGAGGAGGTCAATTAGAAGAGGTAGGTTATATATGTGCAAAATA